CCTTCTAACCCCCAACATTCTGTGATTCTGTCTCAGAGGTGGGCCGAGCAGAGTTGTGTTTCAGCAGTGGTGCTGGGAAGTGCTCAAGACCTGTGTGATCGGGCTGTGCCTCAGCACCTGTGTTAGCATCTGCTTCTGCCTCCATGCAGATGTCGTCCCTTCACTAGCAAGCAGCAGAGCTTTTACAGAACGTTTACACTGAGCATTGTGGTCTGGGCAGCAGCTGTCAGCTCCTTTCCAGCCCATATTTTGTTATCTTTCTGTCCTGATCCACAGTGGGGCATCCTTTACCTCTCTTAGTTCAGACCTCTCCTGTGATGACTTGGTAGCTGGTTCAAGTACACAGGCTGAGACTTGACCCCTGTCCAGATCTCGCCACCTCCCTGGACTGGCTCCAGGCTGACCCAAAGCCTGTTTTGTCTGGGGTGGATCAACGTGCTGGGCCTGTGATCCCTCCCTGACACTGGGAGAGAGCCAGCCCCACTGCTTGCCCATGCCTTGCAGGGGACAGGCATGGGGCAGACATAAAAGGCACACTAGAAGGTCTTTAAATGTGGAAACTAATCTTTCACTTGCTCACAAGCTCTAGCCTGCCCCTGGGGACTCACTCGCTGGCCAAGGGGAGGCTCCTTTCTGAGCTCTGTCACCTCTGCTCTGGGAAGTCCCTGAATTTGTCCCTTGTGAGGAAAAGGCTTTTTCTCACTTTTCTGCCTGGTCATATTGGGATTAGCCCTCTCAGTGCAGCTTGAAAGTCAGGAGAGCGCAAATCTGGGTAGGGAGTGGTGTTGGGGGAACCACTTTCCATTGAGCTCATTTGAGCTGTCTTAGTTTCATCCCACTGACGAGCCTGTTTCTCTTGGGAGAGGCTCTACCTCATTCCCTGAGCCCTGAAATTGGTGGTTTGTCTTGGAGCTGGAGGCACAGATGTAGGTGTGCCTGTGCTGCCCCAAAGCATGGCTGATATATATATGAGTTCCTGGGGTTTGACCCTTTCTTAAATTTCTGCACTGAGGAAACTGTTGAGCCTCCCAAAGATTAACTGGAGGTTGTGCCCAAGTTAATTACCTGGGCTCAACCTGAGAGTGTGGAAGACAGAAAAAGAGCATGCTGGAGTCTGTTTCAAAGCCAGCATCAGCCCTGAGCTCGGTATCACCCAGCTCCCATGGAGTGGGAAAGTGAAAGTCCTGCTGGATCCCACAGCTTGAAGAGGCTGTTAAAATTGAGAAAAGGAATGACTGGCAGCTGCCTCTTCTCCTGTAAGAACTGGGGGAATCCACGCCTTGCTACAGGACATGTGCTGAAGGTTATCTGAGTGTAAAACTGGAGCAGTGTGGGTGTGCGGGTGATGTCAGTCTCCATGCAGGGCTGTCAGCCACCTCGGCTTCACCGCTGGGTCAGGAATTCCTGAGCCACAAATAGCCGGCGTCTGGGAAGGTGTTGAGGGGGAATGCTGCTACATGCTTGGCCTATTTCATACCCACTTCTGGGCATCTGCTGTCGTCTGCCGTCAGAGATGAGATCTGGGGCCAAGCAGGCTTTTGGCCAGCTCATTTGGCCACTCTTGTAAACGTTTTCCCGGTGCCTCAGCCATTTCATTCTCTGTCCCTCGTACCTCCAGCTGGTGTCTGCAGAGGGCTCCCATTCAGATGCTGGCTCGGTCTGTGCTGATAACCAAACAGAGCTGCCACCCTCCATGGAGCGCACAGGAGGAATTGGAGACTCCAGGCCCCCCTCTTTCCAGTAAGTTCCCTGGACGATTATGCTGACTTCCAAGAGACCCACAGTGATTTTGCTGGAAATCCAGACCAGGGGCTGGGACACTCCTACTCAAATTGGCAGGGATCGCAGCCAGCCAGAAGGGAGGAGGATGGGGCTGGGAGCAGATTTGAAGCAGAGCTGCATTACTCAGCAAGCAAGGGCACGCTGAAAATAGTGCAGAAGAGTTGGCAAAGAGCTTGCACAGCTTCCCCCAGTCTTTTGCCCTGCACTCATGGATGTGCTGTGCTTGTTCCCACTTCTCTCCTCTTGTCCTTCAAGAAGGAGACAGCTGATGGCTGGACACATTTATTCCTTTTATCTCCTCACAGCCCTAACACGGGGGGTAGTCGGGAAAACCTCGACAATGAGACAGAGACAGACTCGGTGGTGTCGTCGCAAAGGGAACGACCTCGTCGGAAAGATGGGCCTGAGCATGGTAAGCATTGGTAACGTGGCAGGAGCTCTGCTGGGCATAGCTGGGGCACAGTGTGGGCTCCAGATCCAGACATGAGGCAGAGGCAGCTCTGTCTGCTCTGCAGAACCTTGCCAGCTCAGAAGGGCTTTTTGGTGGTCTGGGACCTTAGCCTCATGTTGGAGGCAGGAACTAGTCCCTGCGTTGCATCAGAGCTTGGTGACAAGACCTCTGGGGGGAGAGATGGTGTCTGCTATAGAAGCTTCAAGAGCAGGAGCAAAAGGCAGGAGTGCTCCAGTCTTTCTTAGTTGAAAAGCAGAGTGCTGTAACCTTGGCAGTCCTTGCTGCTGCTTGGTTTGCCGAGAAACCAGCTGCAACAGTCTTCCATGGTTTTAGCAGAGTTGCTAGTAGCCCATCAGCCTCTTCCTCATCCTCTAGTGGGGTAGAAGAAGCATAGAAGATCCATAGAAAATGGATCTGATACCATGGTGGATTCAGAGCCGGCCAGGTGGGGTTGCCTGATGGCCAGATTAAATCTGAAAAGGTTGTTGTGAGCCCTGCGTGGTCGTAGGAGGTGTTTACCTGTGGCCTGTCTGCAGCATACTGAGCTTTGTCTTTCTGCAGCACCCAGGGTGAATGGTACGGTGAAGGGAGAGCGGCGCCGAGACCTGGGCGGGTACGAGAGCTCCTCCACGCTCATGAGCAGTGAGCTGGAGACCACCAGCTTCTTCGATTCAGATGAAGATGACTCCACCAGCAGGTAGGAAAGCTGAGGTCCTGAAGGAACCTCTTCCCTCCCAGCACAGAGAGGTGCCTTTGCACAGTAACACTGCGCTCTGGGGTCCTTGCTCAGACCTGCCTCTCACTCGAGTCTCACCAGCAGCCCCCTCTGCTATTGTCTGTCCCCCAAGTACATGCTTTGCCCCTGCAGTCCTCTCTTCCCTGTACTATTTCTGAGGCTCACTCGCAGCCAGAGCCACCACCCTGGCAGCAGAATAGCTGACTCTTACTTTTTGCCTCTAGGTTTAGCAGTTCAACAGAGCAAAGCAGTGCTTCCCGTCTCATGAGGAGGCACAAGCGACGCCGGCGGAAACAGAAGGCTCCACGCATTGAGCGGGTACCCAGGGGCTGGGTGTCCTGGGAGGGGCAATGCAAGGCAAGGTGGGCTGCCTGGTGGATCCTCTCCACTCAGTGCTCCAGGGCTGAGCAGGGATTTGGCTGGTTTTGCTGTGGGCATAGCTGGGAATAGGTAGTGTCCAAGTTCTGAGACTTCATAAAGTGCTGTAAACCTTTCCCAAGACCCTGTAGCCTCAAGAGCTGGGATCACAGACCTCCTTGTCCTGGCTGTAGAGAGGTCGTGAGGGCTATGGCTGAGGCCCTCTGGCTCTGCAGAGCTCCCAGCATAAGGCTGGACTTGTGGGTGGTGGCTGTGGTGCCACAGGGAGTGGCAAGGAGCACAAGTGGGGAGGGAGCTGGGGCTGGGAATGTTAGGAAGGCACAGGAGGACATCTCATGTTTCACTTGTGTTGCAGTCATCGTCCTTCAGCAGCATCACAGACTCTACCATGTCCCTGAATATCATCACAGTCACGCTGAACATGGGTGAGTGGGGCTGTGCATGGAGCCTGCTGTCCTTCCAGAGCGATACGGGGTGGCAGAGAGGGAACTGGGGAGGGGGCAAAGAGAGAGGAGTGAGGAAGAGGAGTGAGCCAGAGCGGGAGCTGGGGAGGGGGCAAAGAAGAAGGAGTGAGGAGATAGATTCTGTAGAAAAGTGGCTCGTCTTGAAGCACTGGTCTCTCAAGAGTTTCTTTTTGTCTCAGAGCATGTCTCTGGGACAGGGGTGCAAGCGACCATCATTAGCACGTAGTTTGTCTGAGGTTAGGGCTGCTTGTGCCTACTGCTTTTTGGTGTCTTAGTTCTTTCTATTTCCATCCCTGCAGAGAAATACAACTTTCTGGGCATTTCTATTGTGGGACAGAGCAATGAGCGTGGAGATGGAGGCATTTACATTGGCTCTATCATGAAGGGTGGCGCTGTGGCAGCTGATGGCAGGATTGAGCCAGGAGACATGCTCTTGCAGGTACTTCACGCCCACATACCTCCATCTTTGGGCCTGGGAAAGCAGTAAGAAAAGACCCAGAAGCCTCCCTGTGCACTTTGGCAGGCTAAACCCAGGAAGCTGCGCTTGGAAGAGCGAAGCTGAGTCACTGCTGAGCCAAGTGGGAAGCTCAGCCTCTGGTCACTTCTCTGGGATTCACCTCTTTGCATTGTTTGCAGGTAAATGACATCAACTTTGAGAACATGAGCAACGATGATGCTGTGCGGGTGCTGAGGGAGATTGTGCACAAGCCGGGGTGAGTACTTGGGTTCTTCCTTACCCTCATGGGCAGCCGTACGGTGGGTGTGCGCTCTTCAGTCATGGCTTCCAGCCACTTTGCCAGTGGCTCTGCAGAAGCTCAGAACTTATGTTTTTTGTATTGATTTGATTCATAGAATCATAGAATCAGCATAAAATGTGTTGTGCTGAAAGGGACCTTTAAAGGTCATCTAGTCCAACCTCCCTGCAGTGAGCAGGGACACCTTTAACTAGATCAGGTTGCTCAGAGCCTCATCAGCCCTGACCTTGAATGTCTCCAGGGATGGGGCCTCCACCACCTCTCTGGGCAACCTGTGCCAGTGTTTCACCACCCTCATAGTAAAGAACTTCTTCCTAACGTCTAATCTAAATCTACCCTGCTCTAGTGTAAAACCATCGCCCCTTGTCCTGTTGCTACACGCCGTTGTGAACAGTCCCTCGCCACCTTTCCTCTAGGGCCCCTATAAGGGTTTTCGTGTCCAAAGCAAGAAGTGCAGCCAACAGACTGATGGTGAATTGGGGTCTGTAGCCCTTTTTTTTGTGGGCATGCTGTGTCATAAGGGTCACAGGCAACCTTCAGCAGGGTCACGTCGTTTTGTCCATGCCACTGAGGAAATCTGTAGCTGGAGGAGGGCAAGGGCATTTCACCGGCAGCTTCTCCCTGTTTGGCAGGAGAGAGCCAGCATACAGCACCCACCCACCACGCAGGCATTTGTGCCGCTGAGGTCTTGTTCTAACTCTTGCTGTTTGTTGCAGGCCCATCACCCTGACGGTGGCCAAGTGCTGGGACCCCAGCCCCCGGGGCTGCTTCTCGTTACCCAGGAGTAAGTGGATAGCTGACCCACCCTTAACGCTGGTGCCCAGCTCATGTGAGAGCCCTGCCTTAAGCACTTACTTGGCTGTTGTCTTGTTCCTCCCCTGTGTGTGTTGACTCCACGCGGCACTGAATTGGGATTTGATGGGGTTTCAGCTCTCCTCTTAGGAGGCTGCTATGTGCTATTCCCAGGCCAAAATGCCCATGAGCCCAGCCCTCCTTCCCACATCACGCTGGGGACGCGTTTCACTGGGGCAGGGGGGTCACTTGCTCGGGGCGCCAGAGGAAAGAGAAACCCCTCCTTGAGCCATAGGGGGATCTCTCCCTCTGCACCTCTCCTGCTGACCCTCCCTTTCTTCTTTCTCTCCCAGTTGCTCCCCAGCGGATCTGGGCTGGGCCAGACTCTCCATGCTCCGATCCGGGTGAGTCCCGGCAGATACTGGGGATGGAATGGGCTGCGCTGAGTCCCTGTCCCTCCCCAGAGGTTGATTTGATGAGGGGATAATTTCATATAGCTACTGACTGACTCTTTCTTCAATGCAGGTGAGCCCATCCGGCCCATCGACCCGGCAGCCTGGGTGTCTCACACAGCAGCGATGACTGGCACCTACCCAGCGTACGGTATGAGTCCATCCATGAGCACAATCACTTCCACCAGCTCCTCCATCACCAGCTCCATCCCAGAGACTGAACGTAAGTCCTTGTGCCTCCGTGCTCCACCCGCTGCACGGCTTCGTCGCCTTCACTGTGCTGTAAAGGGAGCAATACATCTGCCTGGGCACAGCTGGGGTGGGTGAGGTCCTTGCCAAGGGACTAACAGGGAGGCAGCTCTCACTGGGCGGGCACTTGGATCAGTGGGAGTTCTGACTGGGTGAATTAATACCACATTTTTCCACCTTCTACATAAGGAGAGTAGAGGAGCCTGGGTGCAGTCTAGGAGCTGTGGCAGGTGCAGAGGAAAGGCTCAGAGCAGTCAAGGGTTACCGTGTGAGAGTCCTGGACCAGAGGAATTCAGCTTGTGCCTGGACCAGTTGCCTTCCCAGACAGCAGATAGGGCAGGGTGGGAGCAAAGCGTCTTACAGTGGGGCAGGGTCCTGCTGAGCACAGGGCCCTTTTGGTTGCTTTCTGAGGTTTTTTTATGTGATTCTAGTCTACAGACCCCTGAAGCAAGGGTCTGGAGAGCCAGGGCAAAAAGTCAGGAATTCGTTGTAAGTTTGTGAGGAGCAGAGAATTCCCTTGCTGGGCTGCCTGAGCTCAGTAGGCAGCTTCTGGATCTCAGCTGCTTGGGACTGCCTGGAAGGAAGAAGACTCTAGCCTGGGTTTTGAACAAGAGGAAATGGCTGATGCCTGAAAGATAACATCGGAAGACTGGAAAGGGGATTACACAGCATACGCCCCAATGCTGTCTGCAGTGTATTGTTCCCTGGCCCATTCCTCCTGCGTGTGATGCTTCCGTGCGGCCATGTTGACTTTTCTGTCCTCTCTCATTCTGCCTCCCTTCCTTCATCCACACCGCAGGCCTCGATGACTTCCACCTGTCCATCCACAGCGACATGGCCACCATTGTTAAAGCCATGGCCTCACCAGAGTCAGGCCTGGAGGTGCGTGACCGCATGTGGCTGAAGATCACCATCCCCAATGCCTTCATTGGTAAGAGACTGTGCTGCCTGCAGCAGAGGCAGGGACTTGGGAAACTGGTGGCCTATTTTCCAAGCAGATGCCCAAAGGAGCATCTCTGTCACCATAAACTAACTGTTGACCAGTCCAGAGTCACAAATTGAACCTTTGGCTCTGCAGTTCCTTTTCACCTTTTGACTTGCTTTGTCTTGGCTCCGGTGTGGCTCACTGTCTCAGGGGCCGCTGTCTTCCTCACTCTCGTTATATTTAACTCTGATGTTTGTTGGCAGGTTCAGATGTGGTGGATTGGCTCTATCACCATGTGGAGGGCTTTACAGACCGTCGTGAATCTCGTAAATATGCCAGCAATCTGCTGAAGGCTGGCTACATCCGACATACCGTGAACAAGATCACCTTCTCCGAGCAGTGCTATTACATCTTCGGGGACCTCTGTGGAAGTACGACACTTGGCGTGGGTGGGAGGGAGAGGATGGAGGGAGGTTGAGGTCCTGTAGAGCCCTACTAATGCCGTGGGGACGTAGCTACAGCCACTGCCATCAGGCTGGGCCCGTTTTTCTATGGTTAGAGAGTGATGAAGAATATCCCAGCTGCCTTGTCATGCTGCCGGGGTGGGGAAGTTGGAAGCAGCATTGACAGTGTCACCTATATGGAATCTTTTCTTCTGGGCAGCTGTAGCAGAGTCTTAGACTTTACTGACTTGGTCTCCAGGCTCTGAACTTCAAGTGCTGGCAAGGAGTTGGTGCTCAGACAACTGCGTTCTGCTCAAATAAGAAGGATGGGGGAAGTAACTGGCAGGGTGAGCTGTAGCTCTGATGTGGTCCTTCCCAACCAAGCTGGTCTCTGGTTTAGAGTGGCAGCTCGAACTCGCATAGCCTGGCAGTTGTCCAGCCAGGAAGAACAAATGGTTGCATTGACTAGCAAGGAGAGTGCCAGCTTCTTGGATCTGCTTGTATAACCCATCCTTGTCCATCAGCAAGGGTGAGCAGGAAGCTGCTTCATCACACATAGTTGTCTTTCCTCCTGGCCTAACCTCCTTCTCTGCTTTCTTGCAGACATGGCTAATCTTTCTCTTCACGATCACGATGGCTCCAGTGGTGCCTCCGATCAGGACACTTTGGCCCCACTCCCCCACCCAGGAGCTGCACCCTGGCCTATGGCTTTCCCATATCAGTATCCACCACCTCATCCATACAACCCCCACCCCGGCTTCCCTGACCCAGGCTACGGCTATGGAGGGGGCAGTGCAGGCAGCCAGCACAGTGAAGGTGAGTGAAGAGAACTAAAATATGCCTGTGGGTGGGCAGATGCCCCCTTCAGAACAGGGAAGCAGCAGGAAGAGGCTGCTTAGGCAAGGCCTTGTGTGTGTGGAGAGTGAGGGAAAAGCCACCTCAGAAGGGTTGTGGGACTCAGAGCTGAAAGGAGACCGCGCATATGGACTGTGCTGGTGGATGGCTCTGCTGCAGTGTTGTGTAGTCCTCTCAGCTAGAGGAGCATCCTTTTGTCCCAGCTTTGTCTGAGCTGTCACCTAACCTTGCCTCGTACGCTTCGCAGGGAGCCGGAGCAGCGGTTCCAATCGCAGCGGCAGCGAGAGGAGAAAGGAAAGAGAGAAAACCGGCGAGTCCAAGTCAGGCGGCAGCGGGAGTGAGTCGGACCACACCACGAGGAGCAGCATGCGGCGCGAGCGCGCAGCCAGCGAGCGCTCAGTGCCGGCCAGCCAGCACAGCCAGCGCAGCCAGCACTCCCTGGCTCACAGCATCCGCAGCCACCACAGCCAGCAGTCGTACGGGCCACCCGGCCTTCCCCCTCTCTTCAGCCCCCCCATGTTGCTGATGCCTCCACCGCCTTCAGCCATGGGGCCCCCCGGGGCACCACCGGGCCGTGATCTGGCCTCTGTGCCCCCCGAACTGACAGCCAGTAGACAGTCCTTCCGAATGGCCATGGGCAACCCCAGTGAGTTCTTTGTGGATGTAATGTGAAGCGCCCGTCCTTTGTCTGTCTGCTGCCCCTCCTTCCCCCCTCCATCCCCGTCGTTTGTCTCCTAGGACCAGCCCTGGCTTCACTCCTTGTTTTTTTGGTTTTTTTTTTAATTTTTTTGTTTGTTTTGGTTTTTTTTGTCTTGATAACGAAAAGAAAAAAGGGAAAAAAATAATAAATGGAACTAAACCTTGATTCTAATCCCTGCTCGAGCGGGGTGGACGGGCCTGACAGGCCTGCTGGGTGCTGCCAGCCCATCCCGCCACCAGACTTGTGTATTGCCGATGGTAATTCCCTCCTGCTGTCCTCTCTAACCCCATTAATCCGCACCCGTCCCAGCGCCCTGTGCTGCTTGCCCGTGTGTTGCTGCTGCCTCGGTCCTTCCACCCTAAATATCTCTTCTTTCTTTTCACCCTTTTGTGTTTCTTCTATCAAGCAGCAAAGAATTACGGGGTGTTTGACTTTCTCTGAGCCTGCCGCCCCTGGGGGGGAGAGCTGGAGCATGGCGTGGCCCGACTGGAGGACACGGAGCTCCACGGGCGCTGGGCATGCCCGGCGCTGAAGATGGCTTCTTTCCTTCCCCCTTGCGGAAGACACCCTGCCCTTTGCGCAGCCCTGAGAGGGGAGCAGGGACCAGCTTTATATATGTGTTTTAAATCCCGTTGTAGTTGCCTTTTGGCTAATGCATGAATGTTCCAGGGCTTCAGTGCCTCTGGGGAGTGGAGAGATGCTGCCACTTCCCTCTTACCTCCCTCCTCTTGGCCGTGCATTGGGCCAGGTTTGAGCCTGGCACTGCCCCATGGCAGGACCCTCCTTCACCTTGCCTGGGCCGTGAGTCTCAGGACAGGGCTATACCTCTGCATTCAGCCTGGAGCAGTGATGGGTGCCTGCACACAATTTTGCATGATTGGGAGCCCTGCACCTGCCCTTGGGTACTCGGCAGAGGGGGATGGCAGGATTTAAAGGCAGAGTTCAGCTCCCTCCATCCTGCTCTTTGCCCTCCCACCTGCGACACGCTACTGCCTGTCCCGTTTGTCAGGGCTGTCCTGTGCTTGGGGCTGGTGGTGGCAGCTGTGGCCTTTTACCCTCTGCTGTCGTGCTGCTGCTCATCTGTCGTGACATCTTCAAAGGCCTGGACAGAGTTAGAGAGGGAAGGCGCAGCTGCTTCTCTGTCAACGGTTTGCGGAAGCATGGGAGGTCTGCTGTATTTGGAGGGCACAAATCTGCCTCCCTCTCTGCCCAGCGCCCCGAGCACTGCTGGCCTGGCTGCCAGGAGGGATGAGGCTCTAGGATGGAGCTGGAGCAGCCCCGCAGGCCGGGAATG